ACACACACACACACACATTACCCAGCATTCAGCAGGATGTGACATTTTCCTGTTCGCAAACCAAACAACATGATCATCATGAAGCCCTCTATCACACACACACTTTAAGTTCTAGTTTACAGGTTTCTGTAGATATAAATGTGCACAATGTGTTTGTACGTTGTCGTACGAGGCATTTTTTTAACTTTTGATATTTACAAAAGAAACGAACAAGCAGGACGAACATCAGTGAGCACCTGTCAGAGGTCACATGATGGAGTTTGTTCAAATTCTACAAAGACGGAACATGTATTTGACACAACCTTAAAAACAGCTCAGAAGAGTTTTGAAGCTTTATGAATATCGTAAACTTTTACAATCAATCTAAAACTACATTCAAATGCCCGTTGCTAACTTCCTGATAAACCTACTAACGTCGTTTCTGTGAGAAGACGCGTCACAAAGCAGTTCAGTACAAGTCCACACCCGTTTGGTTCAGAGCAAAAGACAAAGTTTGGCATTCAGCAGTCATCAATACTGAATACTGTTGACAAATGTGTGTTTTATGATCCTGTGACGACCTCTGTGAGCAGGCCCCTCTCTCCAGGAGGTGGGGGGGCAGAGTCAGTTCATTAGTGAGATTCAGCTCACCTGGTCCGGTGGCAGTCTATATATACATATATATATAAATATATATTGTTTGTTTTTGTTGTATTTAGCTTATTTTTAGTTATAACGGATGTGTGTTCTCCCTTTTTTCGTCCAACCTGAGTGGGGCTGTGATGAATTGGAGGCTCGTCCGGGATCAAATGAACTATTTTGGGCTGATTTAATTATTTTTGGTAATTAAGGTCATTTAAGATTTACAAATATGTGTGTGACGATTTTCGAGTAAATTATGATGTTCACAAATGCATCATGTCAACACCAGTAGAAAGCTATCGTTTACTTTGATCATGAAACACCAATGTGTCTTCAGTCGAGTCCACTGGGAGCGTGCGTTGTGGTTTAAAGCACTCTGTGGAGGACGGAGGCGTTTTACCGCACACTCTGAGACATGTGCAGAGGAGTCAGCATCTCCTCAAAGATGGCCCCCTTCACGTTGGAGCCCCTCAGGTTCGCCTCCTGGAGGTCACATCCTGACAGGTCACAGTTCTGGGCAAAACATACAACACCCGAATGTATCACGGATGCAGCATTTGCAGGTTTCTGTGAATTATGGATGTAGAGATGTGTGTGTGTGTGTGTGTTCTCACCTCCAGGTCCGTCCCAGCCAGCGTTGCTCCTCTCAGGTTGCAGTTCTTCAGTTTGGCGTTCTTCAGCGTGGCGACCCTCAGGTTGATGCCTGTCATCTGACTTCCCTCCATGTCCACGCCCTTCAGGTTGGCTCCTACACACACACACACACA